AAAATATATTTATTACTAAAATTCTTAATTGTTAAATACCAAGTCCATTATAACAGGGTCACAATTCCATTGTGGATAAAATTGATCAAAAAACTTTTCAAATAAATTATATATATCTGGTTTGGCCTCCTTTATGACCGACAACTTTATAATTGTCGAGTTTCCGTTTTCCTTTCAGTAAATGTTATATTTTTACAATTATTTTTTGAGTTTATAACAAAGGATTTCTAATAAACATACCATGGTAATAGTCATAAGCGAGTTCGGGGTATCATAGGCCATAACATGTCGGATACAACTCATTTCAATGCACCCGTACTTTATTAGCGCGATTTGGTCCTCATTGCAGACTTCCGTGAAAAGTGTCAACTGTTTTGACATTTCGATGATATTATGTGTAATTTGTTCCCAATTATTGACTATAACTTTGAGCGCCTCTGCATGTCTTTGCTCTTCAATCAATTTGTTAATACATTTATCTCTCAATACATTTGAAGCGTTTAATAGTTCACATAATCGGAGTCCTTCCTTCTCATTCAATGTGTTATTATAGTCAGTGATGGGTCTTATGATTGACATAACATTTGCCACAATGTTTATCATAGTTTGCTGATTCTCATCAATGCTATTATTTCTAAATATGTCACGAATTAACGCATACCTATCCCTTTTAGGTATTGCTTTATCTGTTTGATAGGTTTTCAAACATATATCTGTAGTATTATTTTGAATGAAACGATTGCTTATTTCATTTGATTGTATTTGAAACTCGATTGAATCGTTAGTATTATCATCTACCAAATTATTATATTCACTATTAGTTTTCAACATAAAAAGTCTGTGTCTTTCTTTGCGAATCAATTCCTAATTAAACCCAAGTATTCATAAATAAATAATAAATTAGCATTGTGATAAATAATAATTGTTACATTCCTATAATACCTTTCTCATTCCCACTGCAAAACATTTGTTAATTCGACATAATTTACAGGATTTTCGGGTCACAGAATCTATTTTGCATCGACCATTGAATACACATTTTAACCCCTGTTTTAATTTAACATAGTTAAAATTAATTTTAGTAGTTTTAAGTGTCTAAAATATATATTTAATTTACGGTATGATTGAGTGCATTGCGTCGGAAAAATGTTTTACACGAAACACACGTCCAAACCTTATAATTCTGGCCTAAATGTGGAAATAAACATAAATGCATTATTTAATATTATTAAACTAACCTAAAACATGCAAACTACAATACAATTTACTCACCACAAGCTATATCTTCACAAACGGCACATTTGATATCTGATAAAACATTGTCCGACATATTTAACAAATTTATAATATTGTATACGGTATATTAATTTTAAATATATTTATGTTTAATATATTGAAATGAAATTAGAAAACATATACACAATTTAATATATTTCCCAGTAAATCAAATATTGTATTTCTATGAGACTATACCATAGTATTAATTAATAAGGTAACTAATCATACGATCAATGTATAGATAATATATGTTGTGTTATTAGGTTATTCAGTTTATTGAAGCTTTATTATTATTATAACATCCTTATGCACCGCCACCACCAAAAAGGGAAGATACAGGTTAATTATCTTGATAACCATTACTACTCAACGAGGTGTCCATTGATTAGATAAAATATTGACATTTATTTTAAATATATGAATCGATTGATTTAATTGTGTTGGGGTTGTGTTAGTTTTTTAAACATTATATAAAATGATTCAACGAAAAAATATCTAAACCCATACAACCATCACAACAAATCACGTATTTGTATAAAACTTAAATGTATTTCAATTTATAAAATAATAAGAATTATTCATTGAAATATACAAAAATATTGAAAACAATTTTAATTTTATTAAATTGATATCTAATCTACAACAATAGAAAATAATACATATTTTCAATAATAATCAACAAGTCATTTCTATGGAAATCATAAATATTTGTTTAAATATTACTATAATATTAAATGAATTGACAAAATTATATCGACTAAAGAATTAATA